CCAGAGGCCAGTGCAAGTTCTGTGCCCTTGAAGCTCCAGAACTGTGTGCTAAATAAACCTCTTCCTGTATATAAAGTATCCAGACTCAGGTATTTTGTCATAACAACATAAAACCATACCTACTAATTATGATGATAACTACAACAAAAATAAATAAGCTAGTATCTACTGAGCATGTCAGGCATGCAGTATCTTATTAAAGCTTCAAGCCAGGTGGAGTAGGTATTGTCATCTCCATTTCACAGTTGAATAAATTGAGAATTATGGAAGTCAAGGTATTTGTTCAAGGCTGTGAAGCTGGCAAGTAACTACCCAAGGCCGCCTGCTCACACTTGCCCATGTGGGTTTGCTCCAAAGTCTGGATTGCTCTTGACGTCTTCTCCCCAACCCAAACTTATCAATGTCCATTCCATCAGTCTGCACTCCCAATCAGCAAGAAACCACTGAGCCCCATTATGGGCCTGGGCACCGGGGCACAGAGAAGAAGACCAAGGCATAGCCCCAGCCAAAGTCTTCCCTGCTCTGGGTCTCAGTTTTCTTGTCTGCACAATGAAAGGGTTGTCCTAAAAGACAGTATGTGCAGAACTCGTACTCGTCGTGATCACTTGAGCCATGTCCCGGTTGATGGGGAGGTGGGGAAACTGAGGCCTGGGAATTAGGATTGCCCCAGAAAGTCACCTGAGCCAAGTCAGGAAAGAAAACCAAACTGAGATTTGACCCTTAGAAAAAATGGTTCTGTTCCTAAGACAGGGACTTCATCGCCAAGAACGAGCCCCAGGAGGGACCCCTGGGAGGGGAGAATTCATCTACTTCACAACATTTTGTATGGGACAGAGCCTTGGGACTGCCATCCTGGTGTGGAGTTTCCCCCTGAGTTCTGCACTCAAGGAAAAGTCAGCTGTTTGACCGCATCCTTTCACTTCCAGGGTTCTACAGGGCGCTCCGAAAGCAGTGAGGCTCCAAAGGGGCCGTTTCTAAGCCATTTTGTGGGAAATGAGGGCCAGTGTTTGAGTTTGGAGGAAAGACAGAAACGAGACACTCAGAGGACTGAGCTGGTCTGCAAGCCGCCTGCCTTGCACGCTCCTGCGGACAGGTGCACACAGCTCTCAGCGTTTTGAAAGGACGCCCCCTGTTGGTTATGCAGGAAAGAACCTGGCAGAGAGGAGATCCAGCCTTCACAGGATCCTGCGGCAAACAATTTTTCCAGACTGATGCAGAATGCATATTCTGAAGCTGGGCAAAAGTCATTGACCAGCCTGTCCATGTCTGGGAACACAGTGGCTGTGAGGCCCCCTTCGATGTGTAGAGCAGAAAGCCAGTTCCTGACGCTGCACAAACATGATCTCTATTTGTATTTCATTACGATTTGCATATAATAGAGCTGTCATTCTATGTCCACAGGGTATTGGTTCTGTGATCCCCTGCGGACCCAAACATCCCTGGATACAAAGGTCCCTGATGTAAAATTGTTAGTATTTACATAGAACCTACATATGTCCTCCTGTAACCCTGTAAACTGTAAGTCATCTCTAGGTTGCTTAAAATACCTGACACAATTAAGTGCTTTGTAAATAGTTGTTGTACTGTATTGTTTAAGAGATGATAGTGAGCAACAAAGTCTGGCCCTGTGCAGCCACAGCTGTACTTTTCCCCTCCACTATGTTTGATCTGGGGTTGGTGGGGTCCAAGGTGACAGAGCATGTGGAAGTGGAGGGCTGACGCTGACGAGAGAGATGTCCACTTCATGTCAGTTTCACAGATGGCAGTGCTGAAATTCAAAGAACTCACTTGTCCCTGCCGCCTGGCCTGATATTGAGGTGACAGAGGGAATCGCAAGTGGTTTCTCACGGTCCTCGTGAGTTCCACGAAACCATATTCTCTCCTATTTCTTTTCTTTCATCTTCTCTCAGCCGTTGGCTCCCTCTGCACCCAAAGCCGTTCTATACAGGAACTTCAGTCAGCTTCCCGCCTAAGGCTCTTGGAGACACAGTGCTGTCTCCACTGCAACTCTGCCCTCCTTCCAGCTCCTGAGGGCTGCAACCTCCTGGTCACTTAGGATAACATGAATTTCTCTTTGTGACATGCTTTCAACCTTTACAAAGGAAAAAAACTAAAACGAACCAAAACCTCACAAGCATCATTTCGTCCCTGTGTGGGGTGGTAGGAAGGACAAACAGGGTGTAGCAGGGAAGGGAAGAGTTTCCTCAATACCCCTTTGTCAGTCACTTTCCACACAGTAGCCCCTTTACTCTCAGGGACAGCCCTGCCTGGGAAGAGAAATTACTTCCCGGATGAGTCAAGCCGTTTTCCAAAGTCACTTGGCTCACAAGCCAGAACTAGGATTTCGAAACACCTACTCTCAACCAAGTATCCACCACGTCTAGGCTAAGCGCCCACCCTGACCCACCCTCACCTTCTTTACTCACACCCTACTGTGACTCAAGTGGCAGAGCAGGACTCAGACCCAGGTTTGCTCATTGCAGACCCTGAACCTCCAACAGCAGGGTATATGATCACGGCTCACCGGTCTGAAATTTATCTTGGCACTGTTTCACAAAGGCGCTCATCCACGCATGGCATAAATGAAGTCCTCATCCGAGTCCCTGGGACCTGGAAATGTTGCAGTATAGGGACTCACAGGTGTGATTAAATGAATGATCTTGAGCTAGAAGCTCATCCTGGGTTAGCTGGGTGGGCCCTAAATGTGAAGAAACTTGAAAAAGTTCATGGAAAAGTAGAATTAAAGATAATGTGTGGGACTGGTGTCATCAGCTCAAATATTTGGGTCCCTGCCATCCATGTGAGGACCTAGAAGGAGTTCCTGGCTCCTGGCTTTGGCCTGACCCAGCCCTGGCTGTTGCATTTAAGGAGTGAACTAGGGCATGGAAGATCTCTCTCCATTTCTGTGTGTCTCTTTGCCTTTCAAGTAAAGTGAAAATAAATAAACAGATTTAAACAATTTTAAAGATAATGTGCATTTTTCATGAATTTGGTGAAAGACATTCATGTAACCACAGAGTCCTTATAAGAGGTGAAGGAGCAAAGGAAGTGAGGGAACGAAAACAAGAAGTTGGAGCAATGGGAGGCAGGCAAGGACCCGCTCCAGCCTGCAGCCAACAGAGGGAACCCAGCAGGTGGATCCCTTGACTTTAGCCCAGTGGCACAGTTTTCAGACTTCTGGCCTCCAGTAAGAGAATCAATGTCTTAACCCACAGACTTTTGGTAATGTGTTAGAGCAGCCAAAGGAAATAAACACAAGTACTATTTACATACTTAAGAGAATAAACTATGTAAAGCATTTGAAATGCACCTTTTTCTATGAAAAATAATCTTCAGCAAGTCACCGTAAACAAAGGCCACAAGTGCTTAGGTTGGCTCTTGGATATTTGAATTAAGTCATTTTAGGTAACTTGTTAAAGCCAAAATTATACTAGGCTGGTCTTGGCCAGATTAGTTTTATTTAGAGATAAGAGATTTTGGTTTATGTATTTGAAAGCAAGTTTTAAAATCCTGCATGTGACTTGTACTACTTTTCAATGTGTCTATGAAGGAAGCGTACTTAGTGCCTACAGCAAACAATATTCTTAGCAAGGTAGAAAGCATAACCTTATTCACTTCTGATGAATTCTTTTTTCTGTCATGAAGAACTATTTATTCAGTCAAATATGTCTGCCTTGAATGGAGGTGTGTACCTAGAAATATACATATTTTGCATACATATTATAGTTCACCAACATCCTGCGCACATCGTAAATAGCCTATAATTCTAAATTTCCTAACAAGGCAAACATCTTCCATCCACCAATAACTTTGGGACCATTAGATGTAGAAATGGGAAAAAAATTGTGTTTTCTTACTATTCTTTCCCCAGAAGTGTTAGCACATGGATTTCAACCTTGAAATATTTTCTTGGATGTATTTGTGTTTTTTGTGTGATTGTTATTCACGAAGATGATGGTTAACACACCTATCATTTTGCTGAAATCACCACTGACTATACAAATTACTATTTGAAATAATGACTGTGTTGATCCTAATCCATTTGCTCATAAACACAGGTTTGAATGATACAATCTAAAAATCTGATTGGCATCACCCAAGGTGTAAGTCATGGGCATTGTTAGATGTTGATGGCCCTGCTTTCCAAAACAGCTACAAGGACGGTAGCTGGAGTTCACTTAGTAGGAGGCTAGGGCCGGACCACACACCGACACAGGAGCTTCCTGGTGTCATCATTGTTGAGCTTTGTTGAGGCACTGTGGTGCCACTGAAAGGAGTTTTATCTGCAATGCACTCTGGAACTACAACATACACGGAATCGAAGATGTATAAAACATAGGACAGAAAGCATTGACACAGTTTAGTCTCATAACACTGGCTCACAGTTGGAAGAGCGCCTGGACACATCCGAGACGGAGGAAGAAGGAGATGCGAGGCGTGAACTGCACCTTTCAAAGACAGAAGACGCTCTAAGCCAATTAGAAAATATCTTGCCCCGCCCCTGGACCTGAGGGGTTAATCTTGAGGCTTGTGCCAGGACCCTTCCGGAACCTGCTCGGATGCTGTTGAAGTTCATTTCGGGTCCCAGTAAACACCTTTGCTTCTCTATATTGTGCCCTGGATAGGTCGTACATAAACACTGCCAGGGACGTTTTTAAAAGGCCCCGCTGCTTGTTGCTTGCAGGTGGATATGAATGTATTCCCAGGGGGTCACCCTGTATTTCCTGCACTGTAAGGCAGAGGATGACCGCGCGGCACATTTGCCATCATCCCACGCAGGTGTGAACCTACAGGGGGTGCATTTTTGGGTTCAGTTTAGGTTTTGTTTGGGGCTGGTGCTAATTTGGAATGAGTGGGTCTACAGTCTGCATCCCATAATTTGGCTCCGAATCTGTGGCCTGACTTGTCCCAGTCACCTGCTCTGGGCTGGGGAGCAGGGTGGGGTACAAGACTAAATCTTACTCATCGGTTGTTTCCTCGTTTGTCCCCTACCCAGTACCAGGTCACAAGCCCCATGGGAGGCCAGAGGCAATATTTGGAGGGATTTTAACAGCGACCCACGAAAGGAAACTTAGGAACACAGGGCATAGGGTGTGCATTTTCAGTGCTGCCCTCACTCCATCTTCTTGCCTTGAAGTCACTGCTGCAAATACCCTGTTGTCCCAAGACAGGTAAGTAACCGCCTTTAAACCCACCAGGAGGTGGTGAGCGCTGCCAGGGTGGCACAGGAAACCTCACTGGAACTAAGCCATTGATATTTTTGTTCTATCTCACCTGGGGAAGACAGATCCCAAGGCCATTTACTCAGAGGCCAACCAACAGCTCTGTCCTGGATGGCACAGGTCTGTGGATGGGTCAGCCACGGGTGACAGAGCTGCTCTAAAACTAGTGTTCCCGAGCCCGGGCCTGGTGCGGCTCCCACACACAAGGGCAGGACAGAAGCCGCGGCTCCAGCCCCAAGCCTTCCTGTGTGACACGGCTGAGCTGGGGGCTATTTCCTCATAGGTAGACCTGGTGGCGACAGCGTCTGCTCAGCAGTTCCAGCCAGGGAGTGGTAAACAACACAGCCTCACCAGTGATGCCATCCTGGAGTTGGCGGGCTGACGTGCTGGCGCTCACCTTTCAGGAGAGACCCTTCTGGGCCTCTTGCAGAAAGGACACTGGCCAGGGGAGGGGCTGTGCTTTGGGTCATGGAAACACCGCCCGTCGTCTGTGACCTAAAGCCACAGCTTTGCCCGTCGGCCCACCGCACCTTCCTTGCTGCTTCTCTCCTGGGTCGCCCATGATGTCCAACCAGTTTATCTAGAAAACACTCTCGTTATTCTCCCGTGTTCCTTTCCTCTCCCTCCCTCTACTTGTTGTGTGTGTCTGTTTTCTTTTGTTTCACACACACACTCGTCAGGGACATAGATGGGGGGGCTTGGGTAGACAGCTATCACTTGTGGACACATGTGCCCCGACAGCTGGCGTGTGGAGTGGGAGGTGGCTGCTGTGTGGCAATCTGCAGGGACACAGCTGCCTGTGGGGCACAGCTGATGGCTGGCTGGCGGCCCCTAGGGATGGCCCTGGGGCCGCCTCGGAGGTGCTGAGCGTCCCTGCCCTCACACCCACACGCATGGGGCCCTGCAGCCTGTGCCTGTCCTCCTGCCATGGCTTCTCCTCGCTGATCTCAGTCAGGAAGCAGAGGAGGAGCTGCATCCTCTGATTAGGTGCCAGTCGCAGCCTGGGGCCTTGAGTCCCGGAACAGCTGAAGGCTGGTCCACGCTGCGGTGCCTGACACGTGTGTCCCTGTTGGTTCTTTTAGGCTCGGGCAGGCAGAGGTGTGTATCTGGAGGCAGAAAGCCCTCCTGCCTGCCTCCCACATCTCAGTTTCCCTAGCTGAAGCATCTTTATAAAAAAAAACAACAGGATACTCACAGCAGAAAATTCGGAAAAACCCGGAAAATATAAAGAAAAATGTCACATTTCTGCCATTAACATTTTTTTTTGTTTTCAAATATATTTTATGTAATTATATCATACTGAATCTACAACTACTTGTCTTTAAACAATAACTCTCGCTTATTGTGCAAGTAACATATTCATTATGTAAAATTTAGAATATTCAGCACGTTTAAGAAAAGAAAAATGACTTCTTACTGCTCCACTGAGAAGTAACAAAAACTAATATTTCAATGTATACCTTTCTGGTATTTTTAGCAAGCACAACAAATCGAAGGGAGAAAGGTAGTGTAGATTCGTACTTTAGAGACTTTAAAATCTTATTTACTTACAGAGACAGACAGGCATAGCTTCCATCTGATGGTTCACTCTCCAAATGCCTGAAAAATCCAAGGCTGGGCCAGGCCAAGGCCAAGAACCCAGAACTCAATTCAGGTTTCCCAACTGGGCGACAGGGACCCAACTAGTGAGCCATCACCTGCTCTCCTCCAGGCTGTGCACTGCAGGAAGCTGGAATCAGAATCAGAGCCAGGGTGTGAACCCAAACACTCCAATATGGGATGTGGCGGTCCCAAGTTCTGTTTTAACTCCTGTTCCAAACACTGCTTCCTGTATGCATTTTAAAAAGTGCTTTACCACATGACTCAGCATCAATAATTTTATGTCATTAAATGTTCTTTTATACATTTATAATGACAGCAACATACAGATGCTGTATTTCTTATTTAATTGATCCTCTATCGTTAGACCTTGGATTTGATTATAATTTCTCTCTATCATAAACAGATCTAATTGTAGCTAAAGCTTTGTATTCCTCCTGCTCTGCTCTAACACCCATGAATTTCCTGGGGCTGTGGCCCTCACCGATGATGGTGAGTTTGCACCTGACACTGTGCATGACAGTGCTTTGGGAAATACACAGGTTGCTGTGTAGATGAGCGTGGTTAGCACTGCTTGACTAGTGGATATGGCATATGTACTGAATATAGAAGAACAATAAGAACAAACACATGACACTTCCTGTTTGCCAGATACAGTTCCAAGTGCTTTATGTTATTTTTATTCTTAATAGGCTCTGTTTTTTTAGAGTGGTTTTAGGGTCACAATACCACTGAGTAGAAAGTACAAAGTTCCCCATGTCCCCATCCCCCACAAAGGCACAGTCTTTTCTACTAACTGATGAGCCCACACTGACACCTCACTATCATCCACAGTCCACCATCTACATGAGGGTTCTGTCTGGTGGTGGCATCCTGTCAGTCTGGACACACATGATGCCATGGCTCCATTGCTACAGGGTTATTTAGAGTAGTTTCACCGCCTTAAAAATTCTCTGTTCTCCAACTGTCCATCCCTTGCCCCCTTATCCTTGGCAGCCACTGATTTTATAAAATTTATTTATTCTCATTTTATTTAAATGCAGAGAGAGAGAGAGAGAGGGAGAGATCTTTCTTCTCTGGTTCATTTTCCCAAATGCTCACAACAAGCAAGGCTGGGCCAGGCTGAAGCCAGACACTGGGAACTCCATTCAGGTCTTCCACAAGGGTGGCAGAGGCATAAGTGCCTGGGCCATCTCCTGCCTCCAAGGATGCACACTAACAGGGAACTGGATTGAAATTTGAGCCAGGCACGCTGACATGGCATGTGGGCATCCCAAGGTCAAATGCCTGCCCCAGTCACTGATCTTTCTGCTGTTTCTGTTGCCGGACTGTCATACAGTTGGCATCATATAGTACATAGCCTTTTCTTATTGGCTTCTGCCAACAAATTTTAATTTTAATTTTAATTTCCTCCATGTATTTTCATGGCTTGATAGCTCATGTATATCTATTTATCTACCTACCTATCTGGAAAAGTTTATATTCTTTTTGTAGCGCTGAATAACACTGCATTGCCTGCATGAACCACCGTTTCCTATCATTTCAGCCTATTTTAGTCCTATGACTACCCAGTGAGGCATGTACTATTAACTAACTAGCTCTCAGGTGAGGAAACCAAGGCACAGAGCATCATCATCTTGCTCAGGGTCCCTGAGTGTGGAAGTGATGGAGCTCAGACTCTAAATGGATCCTGGCTCCACAGTTTAGGCTTCTCTCAAGAAGCCGGCTCCCTCAGGACAAGCTGCTGGGAACTGGAGGTTTGAGTGGCTGTGAATCGAGATGTGGATGTCTGGGGAGGGGTGAAGTAACAGGGGGCTGACAGGTGTACCTCAAGGGAGTTTAGCAACCCTGAGGCTCTGCCTCAAAGATCCGAGTACCTTGATTATAGCATGAGGGTGACTATTTCAAACAAGCATTGTTACCTTGTAGAGACACACACTGTAAACCTAGGGACAAAGTGACATGTTCTGTTTGCTTCCTAATAATCCTTCCTGGGGACAAGTAACGCATAGAGTACAAGGGATACAAAATCAACCATAAGCTGCAACTATTGAGGTTGGGTGGTGGCTACATGGAGATGTTCTCTTTTTTTTATTTGCTTGGCATTGTGCATGATAAAAATGTTTTATTTTATTGGGATTGGTGCTGTGGCATGGCAGGTTAAGCTGCTGCCTGCAGCGCCCGCATCCCATATGTGCTCTGGTTCAAGACCTGGCTGCTTCATTTCTGATCCAGCTCTCTGCCATGGCCTGGGAAAGCAGTAGAAGATGGCCCAGGCCCTTGGGCCCCTGCACCTGCGTGGGAGACCCAGAAGAAGCTATAGGCTCTCAGCTTCAGATTGGCCCAGTTCTATCCATTGCAGCCATTTGGGGAGTGAACCAGTGGATGGAAGACCTCTCTCTCTCTCCCTCTCTCTGTCTGTAACTCTGCCTCTCAAGTAAATAAATAAATCTTTAAAACAGGTTTTATTTTTGCAGTAAATTTTATTTTATTTAATTTTTAAAAAGGACTTATTTATTTCTTTGAAATTCAAAGTTACAGAGAGAGCAACAGAGAGGGTGAGATAGATATTCCATTTGCTGCTTCACTTCTCAGATGGCTACAAGGGCCAGGACAAGGCCAGGCCAAATCCGGGAGCCAGGAGCTTCTTCCAGGCGTCTCACGTGTGTAGCAGGGGCCCAAGCAGTTGGCCATCTTCTGCTGCTTTTTGCAAGCCATTATCAGGGAACTGGATTGGAAGTGGAGTAGCAGAGACATGAACTGGTGTCTATATGGGATGCCAGCTTCGCAGGTAGCTTTACCTGCTACACCACAATACCTGACCCCCACCCCCACCCCCACCCCCCTATTTTCATCTTGAACCCAGTGATGAGCAGCAGGGGATGCATCTGAATTTGAGAAGGAGCATTGCACAAAGAAAGGTTCAATAACATAAGGTGACAGTTCAGCCACCGTGCCACGGCTCAGAGCAGGCTCAGGAGGGCTGTTTCTGCTCACCACTCTGCCCCTGCCCAGACCTTGGGAGGATTCGAGGGGAAAGGGGCAGAAGGGAAGGTGTGCAGAGGGATCTCTTCAGTCACTCCCTTTGCTTCCAGGGAGTCACAGGGCTCTGCCTGAGGCACCATTGTGATAACCATGACCTTATACTCTGCGTGCACTGCCAGAGGCAGGCCTGTTGTCCAGCTAAGAGAACCGAGGAGAGGCAATGCAACTCCCCTGCAACACCTTCGCTCTGCCTTATTTGGAGGCAAAGGGAGGACAAGCTAGGCTGTTTCGTAGTTCTGAATCTGTGCCTGAATTTGCCAGGAATAGCCGTGTAAGGGGATATCTGTAATCCACTCCCCAACGGTTTTTATAAATGGAGGGATAAATTAATAGAAAACAAGGGCCCAGCAAGGCGAGGGGGCTGGGCCCAATGACAAAGAACTGGTTTCAGCCACCTCAGGGTTGCTGGGGCAGAGCCCAGCCCCCAGGATCACGTGCTCCCGGAGGTTCCGCCCTCCCCCTCGCCTGCCTCCAGCTGCCCCCCCTCCCTTCAAAGCCAGTGTTTGGTTCCTGACTTGACTCACTAAGCTCCGTGCCAGGATTGAGGGTAGCAGAGAAAACTGAGATGTGTAGCTCTGTGAGTTAGGCCGCCTGATTTCAAGCAAAGCCGATTGGCTGAAATGTCTGACATTTTCGGTCTGAAGGAAGAAGACCAATTAGATGCAGAGAGGAAGGCCCACCCCAGGATCTTAGCTCTAATGGTGGGCGCTCGCTGCCTCTTGCCTGCACGTGCACAGCCGGCCTAAGCTGCCGATGGCCTTTGCTCCGTGGGGGAGGGGAACGTGTACGGGGGAGGGCCTCCCGGGAGATAAAGGGCTCTGTGGCTCAGAGGGAAGCTGCTGGGAGGCCCCTAGCTGAGGCTCTCCAGGGCCCGAGAGTACCAGGTGAGTGGCTGTCTCTACTCCCACCGAGTGCTGAGAGCAGGAGGCAAGTCTGACAGGTGGCACCATTATCACATGCTTTGGCTGCCAGTGCAGAGACCTGTGCCAGGACAAAGACTCCCTAACAGTGACATATCCACTGCTTGTTTGAAGGCCAGGGCCCAGCCGCCCCTGGGCACAGAAAACTTTCCTAACAACCATGATTCCACAACCCAAATTCTTCAGTTTCACAAGGAAGGGCCTTTCCTTTTCTCCTCCTTGGCTTTGAAGATTTCTCCCAAATGGTTTCTCCACCAAAGTAAGTCAGAAACTTATCTTCACCTGTGCAATCCATTTTCTTGTTTTCATGTAAAGGGACCCAGTATACTGCATTGATGACAAGACCAAAGAGTAGCCTGTCTGTTGTCTCAAAAACAAAGGACCTTAGAAGCACTCATTTTTAAAAAATGCAGAGTAAAGAATGAGTTTCTGCTGGTTTATCACAGAAGCCAGTCAGATGCAATCTGGAGAATTTTGCTAACTTCGGGATTTCACCTTTCAGAGAAATGTTGGCTATGTTACAAAATTGCTAGAGGAGAGACTTGGGTTGTGGAGAGGCTAAAACTATGTCCTAAATGAATACCTTAAGGATTGAAGAGCAGGAAGCCTATGAAATGCAAAGCTGAAGGGGGATATAAGAGCCACCTTCAAATTAGTAATAATCTGTGTTGCTTATAAAAGGCAGGACCAGACCAGGGCTTAAGGTGGGGAGGTGTGTGCTATGAAGATAAATTTTTTAAAAGATTTATTTATTTGAGAGGTACATTTATAGATAGAGATGGAGATACACACACATACATAGAGAGAGAGAGAGAGAGAGAGAGAGAGAGAGAGAAAGAGAGAGAGAGAGATCTTCTATTTGCTGGTTCACTCCTCAGATGGTCAGAATGGCTGGGGCTCGAGATGGGCCAAGCACTTGGGCCATCTTGTGCTGGTTTCCCAGGTGCATTAGCAGTGAGCTGGTTGGGAAGTGGAGCAACCAGGACTCAAAATGGCGCCCCTATGTGATGCCAGCATCACAGGCAGCAGCTTAACATGTTATGCCAGGATACTGGCCCCTGCAGATAGATTTTGACTTCATGATAGCAAGAACTTTGGCACAGCGGCTGAGCTGCCACTTGGAATGCCTGCATCCCAAGTCACAGTGCCTAGTTTTGGGTTCTAGCTTTATTTCCAATTCTCACTGCCTGCTAATGTGCCCCTGGGGAGGCAACAGGTGATGGCCCAAGTACTTGTGCCCCTGTCTCCCACTTGAGAGTCTTGGATTGAATTCCAGGCTCCTGACTTTAGCCTGGCTCAGTTCTGGCTGTTGGGGTCACTTGGGGGAGTCAACCAGTGGATGGAAGATCTCTGTCTATCTCACCCTCTTTCAAATAGAAGGGAGGAAGAGAGGGAGAGAGGGAGGGAGGGAGGAGAGAAGGAGAGGAAGTTTTGATAATTAGAGCTACAGTCCTGGGCTGCATAATGATGTTTTGGTCAACAATGAACTCAACACCATGGATAAGACTGCATTTCCTGGTGTCTCCCGTTAGTGCCTAGTCTTGCTTTGTGTAAGTGCCCTCTGTGACGTACACACAGCAGCAAACTTGCCCAAGGAAGTCTTTCTCAGCACATGCCGCCATGCTGAACTATGTCTGATCGTGGTTAAGCTCGGAAAGAATTCAGTGCGTTAGTGAATCAGGGCCTCCTCAGGCAGTAGCCAAGCCAAGGCTGGACGGCCAGCCCCAGGAGAAATGCTGCAGGGGGATTCCTGCACTGGGCAGATGAACTCAGAAATTCAGTTAGTCTGTATTTCTCTGAAACACAAGTTCTAGACACCAGAAGTCAGACAAGGAGGGATACGAAAAACGCTCAGCTGCTTCTTAGAGACATTTAGCCTCTTTGTTTACAAAAGTGAAAAGTGAATGAAAGTTGAACAAGAGAGAACCAAGGTTGATTTTTCTCAGTGACTTTCAGCGTTTTGATTATGTGTCTTTGTGTTCCTCTTCACTTCAGATCCTTTTTTCTTTCTTTTAACTCTACCCATGTCATTATGTTCTCTCTGTTCTGTCACCCAGAGGGTGTTCATTTAGGCATTTGGGACATATTGATCTTGCTATTTGTGAAATGGTTAAAGCAAAAACTCCATAGCATCTTATCTAGTCTGGTATACATTTCTCTATATATTTTCTCTCTTGTCCAAATATCATCTTCTGAGAAAGTTTGACTTGACTAGGTTTGGCTTTAGGAAAAATTCTAATGATGTGGAAAATTTTCATATTACAAGTAGAGAAAAAAGGTGGACTTTCCAGAATGATTCTAGAGGCTTGAACATGCAAATACAACCAATCTAATGTCAAAACCAAAAAAAAAAAAAAAAAAAGAGAGAGAGAGGGAGAAAAGAAGGAAAAGAAACAATGAGGACATTCCATAATTCTAGAAATGACACATACCATAACTATAATAAATATAATGCTGACAGAAATTACATCAGTTAAAACAGAAAGGCTAGAAACAGACTCAGTTAATTTTAATTAAAATTAAAACAGAAGAAGAAAGGTCAGATACAGAGTCCATTGGGTAGGTAATTAAAGTCCCATTTGAAGTCAGTGAGAAAACAGGTGGCATAGAGTGACACACTTCTTAGAAACAAAAAGAGACCACATCTTTGTTTAGAATTAATTTTGAAAAATGAAACTATGGAGTATTGGGAAAAGCATAGGTGAATATTTATCTAACTTTTGGGAAAAAGACTTTTTTTTAAAAATGCACAGGACAAGTCGGCGCCGCGGCTCAATAGGCTAATCCTCCGCCTAGCGGCGCTGGCACACCAGGTTCTAGTCCCGGTCAGGGCACCAGATTCTGTCCCAGTTGCCCCTCTTCCAGGCCAGCTCTCTGCTGTGGCCCGGGAGTGCAGTGGAGGATGGCCCAAGTGTTTGGGCCCTGCACCTGCATGGGAGACCAGAAGAAGTACCTGGCTCCTGCCTTCGGTTCAGCGCGGTACGCCGGCCACGGTGGCCATTGGAGGGTGAACCAATGGCAAAGGAAGACCTTTCTCTCTGTCTCTCTCTCTCTCTCACTGTCCACTCTGCCTGTAAAGAAAAAAAAAATGCACAGGACAGAATCTGAGCTCAAAGACTCAAAATGTGTATATCATAAACAACAATTGTAAAGATCATTGGCTAAACAGAAAGGAAAATTTAACATCCATGAAAAAGAGTTACAATAATAGCTAAGAAACATACAAACCAGAAGAAAGAGGAAAGCGTCAACAGAAGACAGAGCAAAGCACCTGAAGAGTAAATTAGCCAAGAAGAAATGCAGGAGTGTCTAGTTAACATGGAGCAATCCAGCCTCGGGACCAATGGCAAATCGATGCTGTGAGATACCATTCTGGTCTATCCAATGGAACAGTGTATTTTTGTTTAATGTAAGGATTTCGTATTGGCTTTGGTTTGAGAAAGCAGGTATTCTCTTCTACTAATATGTACGTGTGATTTGGCATTCACCTTTTTGGAGGCGTATGTGGTAAAATCTCAGACACCTGGAAAATAT